ATTTCAAATGATGTACAGTCCTTATTCTAGCTTACATCACAGATTAATAGGGTGCTCTCCAAACCACCCACAATAACTTCCCTCATCACCTGAATGTTACCAGAGTGTAATGCCATGCCTCCTTTAGCATCCCTAACCTTGATTCCACCCCAAATAGATTTGTTTTTTCAATTTAGGGGCAGCACGCTTACTCGAATGAGAAGTAAAAAGGGAGAAAAAAGGAGAGCAAAAAACAAACAGTCCCAGTCACTCTTATTTCACTCCCTGGCTATAGTACCTACATACAACAGTCTAATTTCATACACCACGTAATAAGCAAATATTTAATTCCAAAGTCTTTGCAGTGAAAGCAGTACCCTTCTATAAAACATTCGCTATTATTTACCAATCAAATGGGCTCTGATCTGCATTTCCTTCTCATGTTACGGAGCTATATGCAGGATCATGATTCGCTGAGCAGGACGTCGCGCTCTCCCCCAGTTGGTTGGATTGTACACGTCAGCAGTCAACAAGTTGAACCCAACATGTATCACAGTCCTATCATCCTCTTCCTGGTAGTATCGTGTTGACACAGTACAACTATTTCGGGTAAGTAAAACAAGCTAACAACGGAGAGTTAACTTCCCTTTTTCTTAACCGCTAAATGTACACGTAAGTTTTATGAAGTTGGTCAAACCGCTTGCTTCTATTTTTCCACACACAGGTGTTAAAAACAAGCGGCAGGAGCGACTGTGTAACAAATGACACGGCTCTCCTCTGGAAAGCCCTCGACATCTTTTTAGAGCAACCGTCAGGAAGCGTTTGACACACGGTTCAAGAACTGTCACGCGACAATGGAGCGTTCATGAGGAGGAGCGCGAGGACGCAATGTTGCACGGAAGTTTGTGGCGAAGAGGCGCGCGACAAGGTGAATGAACGCCACTGCTATTTAGCTCCGGAGTGTGTTTTTACTTAAAGAAAATGAGGTTTCGGCTGCTCAAGAGGAATCTGCTCGTGCTACTCGGCATTTCATTCGTAGTTGTTACTCTCTTGTTTTCAACACGGGTGTTATTAGTTTCTGATGACACAAGCGGACCCGGTAACACCGTAAAAAAGAACCCGGGCGTGAGCTCTAGTGACCCGGTAAAGTTGAACTTCAGGTCGCTGTCAGAGCTAACTCAGTCCGTTTACAGTGCCAACTTAAAGCAGTCTGTTTACAATGTAGACAGATTTCCAGGGGACCCTCGGCTGGTGCTGGTCGTGCAAGTCCACAACAGACCAGAATACCTCAGACTGCTTATCAAATCTTTGGCCAAAGCTGCTGAGGTCCACAGCTTCCTCCTCATCTTTAGCCATGACTATTTTTCAGAGGAAATCAACGCAATTGTTCAAGGGATAACTTTCTGCAAGGTACTGCAGATTTATTTCCCCTTCAGCACTCAGCTGTATCCCAGAGAGTTTCCTGGGCAGGATCCACGAGACTGCCCCCGAGACATATCCAAGGACAGGGCTCTGGAAACAGGATGCCTCAATGCAGAACACCCCGACTCCTACGGTCATTACAGAGAAGCCTTCATCACTCAAACCAAACACCACTGGTGGTGGAAGCTGCACTTCGTGTGGGAGCGAGTGCAGGCGATGCAGGGCTACAGTGGCTATGCAGTATTCCTAGAGGAAGACAACTACATCTTACCAGACTTTTTCCATTTTTATAAATCAATGATCGAGTTCAGAAAAAACAACTGCCCAGACTGTGACATGCTGGCTTTGGGTAACCATAATGGCCTGGATGGTTTCACCGCACTATCCAACAAGGTGTTGACCACAGGCTGGATGTCCACCAAACACAACATAGGCATGGCCATCTCCAGGGAGGTGTACTACAAGCTGATGGGGTGCAGCAATGAATTCTGCACGTACGACGACTACAACTGGGACTGGACTTTGCAGCACATCTCTGGAACCTGCATATCGAAGCCCCTCAAAGTGGCGGCAGCACTGGGCTCCAGGGTTCTTCACACAGGTGACTGTGGACTTCACCAGAAGGAGAACTGCAGACCAGAGTGGGCCGCGCAGAAGGTTGACGAAGGACTTCAGAAAGCTAAGGCCGGCCTCTTTCCTCCATCACTTGACCTCGATGGTGCAGAACCGGTGGCGCACAAAGCGCACATGAAGAACGGAGGATGGGGAGACATTCGCGATCACATTCTATGTAATAACTACGCCAAACGACTCTGAACTGCGACTTTTTAACATTCTACAGGTGTGCCATCTGAAAATTACTTTTTCAGGCTTTTTAGGGGCTGCATTGGGTTGCCTTCACTTTCAGTGTTTTGTTTTTGTTTGTTTTCTTTTTAAATGATTACCCCCCAAAATTGGACCAAATCACATCTAAACATACTGCATTGTTCAGCACAGTAAAGACAATATTTTTTTTTTCTTAAATTACCAAAGATGTATGGGTGCCAACACCTTTTGTTGAAATTTGTTCTGTATGCTGCCTGCAAGCTCAGTTCAACTGAATGTCAGCAGCTCTCTGGGTTTCCTACAAGCCACAAAATTAGACTATATATATGTATTACACTTTGTTGTAAACTGAGAGTAAACCATATCCAGAGAGTAAACCATATCCAGAGTGTGCACATACGCACTGTCATTTGTGAATTTATTTGCGAATTCCGTAACTTGGAGCACTGCACTCATTTATTTACATTTACATTTCAGCTTGTTGCAACATGATTTTTACACTGTTATTATCAAACGTTTGAAATTAAATGTTTTTACTCATGTGCGTCTTTGGTACGTTTTAAAGTAAAGATGCATATAATTCAGACTTACAGCTTTAATCAAAGTGTGAAAGACAGTACATTAGGAACGTTGCAGCTCTTACAGCAGATGTTTGTAAGCTAGCTGTTGGAATGAATGACTTTGTAAATGGAATTTTCTTTGTAACATTCAGTGTCTGTCTGATATAAATGGGGATCTCTCTTTTGGGGCGAAAATGACAATTTAATTAGTTTCCAACTCCCTGACTTATTGATTCCCAGTTGCAAAAGCAGGAGGTGGCTTATTCTCTTTCTGATATGCAAAAGTGAACCATTTGGAAGCAGGATCAGGGTCCTGTAATGCTGCATTTCTACATTTGCACCTTTTTATTGTTGACAAAATGGACTAAATGATAATGTAATTATCTGTTATGGTTCTATAGAAAAAATCTTTTTCAAGTGCAAATGTTGGGTGAATAAAACTAGGTGTAATGATACATTTAGTGCCTTTAAGCTGACCTAATATGCCTTTTCTGCCTGGCCTTCTTTTAGAATAGATTTTAAAGCTGTATTGTTAACATTGTTTTTGACCAGAAATTCCAGTAATGCAGAATAACATTTGTTTTGATAGTTTATGGTCTTTCTCCATTCGATATTTAGGTAAAGTGAAATGTGAATGTTGCTTTTTACCAAAATCTTCAGTCTGTAGTTTGTAAAGAATATTTTTACACTGGCATTGTGTATACTATAGGTGTAATACCTGGTGTGATCTGGTATTGGTGCACCTCTGTGTGCTCTCTAACAACTGAAATGAATGTAATAATGAAATGATTCCTACAGTACACACAAGTACTTTATACACAACACTTTATCTGGTGTATGTGTGTGTACCTGTTGTTTTGCTGATTCCTGACTTGCTGAGAATGAGACAATTTTTTTTTGTCATTGTTTTTATTGTGTTGATATTAATGATCTAGCTCATTGCTCACTTTTGAAGGATGATGGGAAAATAAAATAAATGTTATCCCTTGTGACACTTTGCTTTTACACTTCTAAACATACTGCCATTAATGTATTCACTAAATAATGCTTCAGTTACAACCGGTTATTGTAATTGGTTCTTCCGGGAAACATTCCTAAGAATTTAGCGCTACATAGAAGTATGTCCTACTGGTCAGTGGGCATTTATACATATTGAATGTGTTTTTGTACTGGTCATCAAATAAAAATGGCAGCGTTTCAGACAATCAAAAATCAGTGTGTATGCCATGGGTGTCTGTTTTTTTTTTTTTTTTTAAAGGTTATTCTTGGGAAAGTGATGCTTTGCATATACTGGAAAGGTATTTCCAGGAAATTGTTGTAATATAATGTAACACCTTGACGCCATTAACAAGGCACCTCGGCAGACGAAATAACCCCAGGTGGAAGGTCACACCTTAAAAAGAAGCCTATTGTTGCATCTTTATAGCCTTTGTAGTGTCATGCTAAAAAGTGATTTTGGGGATTTGCCAAACAACGGATTGCTGTTATTTAAACTATTGTAATTCACAGATTCCTCTATAATTTGCATTATATACGTCGTTTTGAGCCAGAAAGTATATTCTTGTCACAAGGTTATTTGTGGCTAGTCTGCTATTGCCAAATAACTTCATTTTGGCAATACGTTAAAAGCGGCATTGATATAAAATAGATTTTTCAAGAGAGATCTGGTCAAAAGGACATCAGAAATTCGACAAATATAACAGATATGTTAAGTGGCCAAAAAAGACTTGATTAATTACGGTGTACAGCACAGCTCCAAACTGCAGACTCATTCGGATACTTGCAAAGCAGGTTTTCTTAGTTTTAAATATAACCCATTTGTAAATCCAGGTGCCTGCAGCTTATTTACCAGCATTACACATAAAATCCGCACAGAAACATCGGCAGTCACTATTTTGGCTTATGATGGCTTTTTTGGGACGACACCGGCCACTCGGAACCCTCGACAAAACAGAAGCTCGTTGTCTGGGATGCATGTCAGGTGACTGAATCCGGCTTTGTCATTGGCTATTTATTATGCCGTGTTTATTTCCGGAAGTAAGTTTTGTAGTCTGAGAGACTTTCCAATAAGGCTATTAAACGTCAGCTCTATAACAAGCTCCGACAGGTAACAGAACAGTTTCTATTGTATTTGAATGTGTTCAGTTCACTTGTCTGTTTAGAAGGCAGCCGTAATGTCTTTTTAACGAATCCCGTACGTTTGGAACTGTACATAGTGTTAGCCGTTAGCCGCTGTTGTTAGAAGCTTACGTAATGCACTTTAGTCAAGAACACACAAGAAAAATACTAAACGAAACAGTGTACACGGCATCTTAAAGTAATGTTAACGATTTATTGGTTTCTCACAGTAAGTTTGATTAGTACTTAAAAGCGCTTTTTTTGGAGTGCTGACACGGATACTTGTAGCCACCGTGATGGTGAAATAACGCTAGCCAACGTCACAGATTTGTTAGCTAGCGCTGCTTGATATTTAAACAACTATGGTTGTCATCCACGTAACTTATGGCATTTTAGCGTGTCAGTCATGTAAATCGCCTTTATCTCAACTGTTAACTGTTTGCCACACTGTTCCTCTGTCTTGTAGGTGTGTATTCATTCACAGGATGGCACACTGGTTTCACAGAAACCCACTGAAGGCGACAGCTCCTGTGTCCTTTAACTTCTATGGGGTGGCAGGGAGCCCGGCTGCCAATAAGATATGCAAGTATGTCTTATCTCCACCTGATACACCGTGAGCAGGGATATCACAATGGACGGTGTTCGTCACCATGACCACAGTTGGTTAATAAACTGCTATGTATAGTTTTTTACCCTCTATCAATAGCATTCGACCATTACTATGCTACTGGTACCATTATTTGATCACCTAATCTCAGTCGCCTCACTGCTAAACAACAATGGCAATGATTTGTTCAAATGTCAATCAATTTTCCTGTAGACTCCTGGTGGAGCATAGGGCCGTTTCTGTAGCATGACTTCTTTTTTTTTTATTTAGAGGGTGGGGTTGCTACCCCACGCTCAACCCTCCTCCTTTCTCATCCTGGACTTGGGACCAGGCAATGGTGGAGCTTTGTTCAAATTTAGTCTCACTGAATATGGCTGTCCACAAAGCAACAGTACTATTTGTGATATGTTCAGTGACCTGAGGACAACCAGAGCGAGGCTGCTGGAGATGTTCACTGATATCACCTGCAATCCTGAGATCATGAAGAATGCCACAGATGCATACTTCTCCCTTCTTCAAGGTTTGTTCACCAGCATTTCAGGGTATCTTTTTATCTTTTTCCAAGATAACTTTAGATACAGATAGGATATCAAAGTTATGGCCTAGGGGCCACAGCTCTGGCTATAAACAAATTTTAATTTGGTCTCCATAACAGTTTAGGTTCTCTATACATTCTTGCCTGCTTAGCTTCATCTGTAGTCTGTACAGAAATGCATACCCAGATCGCACCTGCAACTTTTTGGTGTAGACAGCAAAGTCGATAAAGGAAGACAGATTCAAGAGAGAAATAACTCCTTCCTTCCCATTTGAATGTGTTTGCCATGAAACAGTCTTGATTTTCAAAGACTTCAAAAACAACACTGTATTTGCATCTAACTGAGTGTGGCCCTTTGAAACTGGTGTCATCTCTGAATTTGGACATCCCTGTTTGTCAGTAGTGAGGACAAACTGAGACAACTCACTTTTTATATCCAGAGAAGATGGCTAATGTAAGGAGCTTGAACAGAAGGCGACTGGACTTCTATAAGATTTTTCAAGATATTCTTACCTCTCATTCAAGAGGCTTCTTCAGCTCCCTGATATTTAAACCCTAGTGGGGGATTTTCCTTCGGAGAGTCATTGACGTACTGTTAATCTTGTGTGTTGTCATCATGAGCCAAGGTGTGAAAAAAGGTGTGCATCATTACCAGCAGAGGTTTCAGGTAAAACCATTGCCTCACCATGTGACTTATTGGGATGTAAGGGGGGGGCTGGGGGGCTGGGAAGGGATCTGAAAACTACATTCTAGGTGGCTGACAGTTGGTGTCATGACCTCTTTCACTCCTCTTTCAAATAATCTGTCTTCTCTGTCCAAAATGTGAACGCTGGCATCCTCAAAAGAGTGACTGCTATCCTTTAGGAGCAGATGTACAGCTGAGTCTTGTCCTGTTGAAGCGACTCTTCTGTGTTTATGGAGTGGCTCTTTGGTTTCTACCAACTGAGGAATGAATAGGAGAATGCACAAAATGTATAAATACTGTTGTATGTTGATGGACTAGTGTGGCCATAACAACAGGTTTTCAGCATTTTACTCCCTGTAAAAACGACACTGATCTTCCACAAACGTGCAGAACCCTATTGATAAAATTTGGGTCTGACCGCGTAGTGGTTAACATCCTGTATTAATCTACTAATCCTATGTCTGCTTAATGTTTCACATGATCTAATACTAACATAAAAATGTAAGACTGGGTTTCCACCGCATCAATAGTACAATGTAGTGTTTAAAATACATTAAAGTCTGAGAACCACTATGTTTAAAAATATACCAACACTACAGTGACTTTAATAGAATGTCATATTTTTTATATTTGTATTTTATGTTGTTCTGTTACGTTACTGTAATGTTTCAGAAAAGTCTCCGTGTGTGGTTGTTTTGACACCATAGCACAAACCTGTCAAGCTGTCACCAACTGGTAATGTAGCAAATGTAACAAGTGCAACATGGAGATGATGGACCAGATTTATGAATTGCATCAGCGTAAACTGGTGTTAATAAAAAATAATAATAATAAAAAAGGACCCAGTGACAAGATTGTGTGTAAGACTTGGGAATTTATGCAATCGAGGCTGCTGCTTCAGTCGCAACTGTGTATTTCTAAGAGTTCCCTTCTCATGATACAAAATAATGGGAGGAGAAAATTAAAATCAAGTGCACAAACTGATTTACCAATGTTTGTGACGAACAGTTTGCATCTAATCGTTGCGATATTTAACAGCTGAAAAAAAAGCATGTGCTTTACATTGAAATGAACTGACTGCACTCATGTCTAGCACACCTGTGAAGGAAGGTTAAAATTCTTGGATTGCATTGTGCACATACATCACTTGCATATACACAGATCCTGCTCTTGTCTTGTAATTGCCTGTATTTAACCTCCTAAGATCCAAACTCTTTCATGGCATGCATTTTTAATTTCTCTTTGACATTTAAGCTGATTGGGACCTGATGAATGTAAAAACAAAGAATTACCTGATTTTTATTATTATTATTTTTTTAATCTGATTTTTGTTTCTGAGAAAAATGAGATCGACATATTATTAGTCCTTTATTTATCCAGGTAAAAAATCTCATTGAGATTAAAAATCTCATTTCCAAGAGAGACCTGGCATCATGGCAACAAAAGTCACATACCACATAGGTATATAACATTTAAAACAAATACAATATCCCATAATCCCATATGAGGACATTGGTTTTGAATTTCGATAGAACAGTGGCAGTATAACGTCCTCGTAAGTGGATATCAGACCCTTGTAGAGCAAAATTTGGTATTTTAGTCAACCCAAAATGTGCTGTCCACATGTGGACGTCAGGTCCTAGGAGGTTAAATAATGTAATAAATAAATTGTAAATGAGAATGTTTTGTTTTATATTACCCAGTTCAATGGTTGTGAATTGTGTCTCACTTATTTTGCTCTGCATCTAACCAGCAGTCTCTTTGCCCGTCTTTAAAAAATCTTTATGATGCATTAGGCTTTATCATGCCTTTGGATGGAACTACACAGGAGAACAAGATGAGGTTCATCCAGAACTTTAAGTGGACCGATACCTTACAAGGAAACACGCCAAGGTAAGGACACAGAGGGAGTACTTCTAGTCTGAGTAAGGGTGACTTTTTTTTTTTTTTTTAACTCACCGTCTCTCCCTACTCTTCTTCCAGTGCCCAGCAGGATGCAGTCTTTGAACTGGTCTCCATGGCCTTTAATGTTGCTATCTGGTACACAAAGTTTGCCTCAAGAATGGCAGGGAAGGAAAAGTAAGAGCCTTTTTGGCTTCTTCTGTGAAACTATTCTCCATAAATGCATTTTACAAATTACTTTAGTTTCATACTTTAATACCTCATCAAAAACAAAGGACGCTGTGACTAATGTGAATATGCACAGAATATCATGACTTTTGAACATAAAGTATTACAAAAACAATGTTAGATTTTTAAGGTGCAATATCTGACACTATTAAATTGGTCCATCTGTACATGCATACATTCTCTATCACAGGTCTAACACATAGAGAATCACCATTTAACATAATGTCACTAGTTTCATTGAAAGGTTTTAATTGGTTTAAATGACCTTGAAATCATTGCTATTATTTGTTGTTACTTTATTTCTGCTCGTGTTTACCTGTTACACAGTGTATCAGAGACAGAAGCGAAAGACGTTCACCGAAGCTTAAAGGTTGCTGCTGGAATCTTCAAAAATCTTAAGGTGAGGGAGATGTCAATTCTTTCCTCAGTGGAAACTGGAAAGGTTTTATTATACAAACTGACGCTTAGGACAAAAAGTGGATGCCAATCAGTGCAGTTGCCCCTGCAGAAAACATTAATGACACACTTTACCTCCTTTTATTACAGATGAAATAATTTAGACAGTTTTTAACTCTCATTGATGCTGCAGTGTTCGTTTGACTTTGGGACCTGAAACGGACGGAGTTTGACTACCGTAGCTGTATTGCTCTGACAATCCATCTGGCGGTGCGGCTTCGCAGCTTAGCAAAGTCATACTAAAACATTTTTGACAGATTTTTGAGCGCCGTGTACCACATAAAATTGGTTCGAGGTCATTAAGCACAACCAGAATTCATACATAAGGCGCATTGTCGATTTTTGAGGAAATTAAAGGATTTATCCGCGCCTTATAGTGCGGAAAATACGGTACTACAGTTTTTCTTTCTTTTTTTTCTTCTTCTTATTTTTAGCTACAAGCAAATAGATTGAAGGATTTAAGACATATAAGCTATAGGTTTTATTTATTTATTCTGATATCTTCTTTACAGGATGTCCACATCCCTCGCCTCATCACTCCAGCTGAAAAGGGCAGAGACCTGGAGCCCCGAGTCATTGATGCATACATCATCCAGTGTCAGGCAGAAGCACAGGAAGGTAACGACAGTGATCACTGTGCAGTGATCGTGCAGATCGCTGATGATATTGTTCCTCTCATCTCTGACGTTTAAGATGGTCATTAAAGTCTGTTATATTATAAAAGATATGTTATATATTATAAAAATAAACAGGCTGACTCTGCAAATAATCTGACAGTTAATGGCCTGAGTCAGAATCCATGTTACACTGATAATCATTAATCATCAATCATCACTGACACGGTGTGCCAACGTTTGGTTCTTTCCTCTCTTTTGTTTTTACAGTGACCATTGCCAGAGCGATTGAACTGAAACACAATGCGACAATCATCGCAGCTTTGGCATTTGAGACTGCAAACTTCTATCAAAAAGCTGGTCTGTACTTTTGACACAAATAAAATAAAGCTGTTTATCAACCTTATTGGTATGGCACCTTTAGAAACAGTTTATTAAGTATTTTGACAGACGGGGAGAAGCAGGATCGACGATTTAAACAGAGCACCAGTCTTTACATTTAGGTGGGAAACATTAAAGAGAAAAGGAAAACAACAATGAATAAAATTAGACAAGGTGTAATGCCAGCATGTAAAAGCAAGTCTGACTTGCTTTTACATGCTGGCAACGAATGAAACCAACAGGAAGCTGAGCTGCTGCTTTCTGAACCGGCTGGAAATGAGAAAGTGACGTTTTGTTCGAGCAATAGAGGAGGAAGATGTAGCCGTCGAGGCTTGAGAAAATAAATGTAGTGGTTTTATTTTCAAGATGGTTGAAAGAAGCAAGACTGGACATCTTGTCGTAGGGTCTTCGCTTTATAAATACAGCACCTTGAGGCAACTGTTTTGGTGATTTGGGACTATATAAATAAAATTGAATTGAATGAAATGAACTGTTCAAAGCTAAGAGCTGAAACTCAGGAGAACTCTCAGTCAGCATTTCTGACTTTGAGGTATCAAGTTATAAAAAGATGTATGCCTTCCAACAAATGAAGTCACTGAGGCAACTGTGCTTTCTGGATGACCAGGCACAATGGGAAGCTTTCTGGTTTGTTGACCAAGAGCCTAGAAAATAAAATGATGGTTACTGAAAAGATATGAAGGTCAGTTTTCTGTCTCTGCAGACCACACACTGAACACCTTGGAGCCAGAGTGCAGCAGCAAGTGGAGGAAGTATCTCCAACTGAAGCAGCTCTTCTACATGGCTTATGTAAGCTAAAGTTTGCAGCACAGCTATGGTTAATAAAACAACTATTCTGTTTACAGAATTCAAACAAACAAAGTGTTAAGATTGTTGTCATTGAGTTTGTGTTTGCAGGCATACTGCTATCATGGACAGACACTGCTGGCAAGTGACAAATGTGGAGAAGCTATCAGATCTCTCCAGGAAGCAGAGAAATGTATGTATGCATGTTGTAATGTGTAAAGCAATTACAGAGACGTAAACAAGCACGTCGAGAGCGCAAATTTCACCCAGGCAGCTCACTCTCTGTGCAGTATTTACTTTAAAGGGTATACTATTGTATTTAATATATATGAGCAACGTCATACTAAGAATATATCATTCCCTACGTGCCTTAAACCTGTTAAAACAGTCTTAAATAGCTCTGTATGTTTCTATGTTGAAAATACACAAATCACAGTTTATAAGGTATAAGACTTTTGCACTAATAAATCATTGATTTGATCTTGAAGACTGTAAGGCAAGCTTGAATGAATTGCTAACCAACTCTGCACTCCTAAGTTTGATTAGAATTCAGACAAAACAACACACACGCACACAAACACATTCCCTCCTCTGCAGAGGTAAATGTGACTTTGCTCATTGCAGCACAAGTCTTATGTTGGTCTGATAAATTTGTAAAGCTCCTATTTCTTCCGTCTTTGCTTCTAAAAGAACCGTCTGACGTTTAGTGTTGTGTGTGTGTGCGTTTTAAAACCTTTTTTTTTGCATTGTTATTCTTTTGTAAATTTATTATTGAAAGTACTTCATTAATTGTGTTAATCAGAAAACTGCAGACTGCAGTGCTTACTCAGTGTTACCTGCTCACTTGGGTTCATGTAGGTTACCAAACAGGAGCTTCCTGTGTGATTGCTGCAGCAGATCTTAGAGTTGTGTTTGAATTGTTTCCTCTTCTTTGTTCCCTGGATATATTTTGTGTTAACACAGCAACATCTGCGTGCAGGTTACTCCCGCGCTGAGTCACTGTGTAAAGAGTACCGTCAGACCAAAGGCCCGGGTACGACGGCCAAACCATCGGAGCAGCTGTTCTTCCTCAAGCTGGGTGGCCTCATTAAAATGACGCTGGAGAAGTGCCAGAGAGAAAATGGCTTCATGTGAGTCAGCCAGACCCCCCCCCACACACACAGAGTTGTGGCTCAGATTCTACACTTTCCCTGTCACACATGTGACGAGATGATGCGATGTTTACGTCGTTGTTCCCGTGGCGCTCAGGAGTCAAACTCTGAGGACATGTTTTCAATCATTAACAGCACATTTTCCACTCACACAAAGGCACATTTGTGTGTTGTCAGATTAAACAGTCAGCTGGCTACCCTGAGCTTCACCTGCACAAATGCTCACCTTCGGGTTTATGTTCCTGTGAATTTGCATGTGTTCATCATAGAGATAGCTCTGTTGGGCGTCATTGTCAAAATATTATTTTCTTTCATTTTTTTCACCTGAAACTAACGCGTGACCTCACTTTAGTGCCCAGCTGTCACCTGAAAAGTTAAATATATTTGCATGTTGGAGGTGAGCGGAGTATTGTTCATTTATCCACAGCACTGGCCCTGCCTGCTGTATCGCCACCCAACCCGCCTGCTTCTAACTGCAAATGAATCGAATAAACCAAAGAGCATTCTTACACTACAAGCCACATTTGTCCCATTCACACACATTCATGCTTTTACTTTTATCACATAGAACACCTCAACATGAGGATTAATGTAGGGTCTTTTACAGTTTAAAGCGTTGGTGTGATTTCGAGCTATGTAAATAAAACTGGATTAATTAATTAGGGGACAGCCCACTCTACCTCCTAGTTTATAGCCGTATAGTTGTTGATGCCTGTTCCTGTTTGTACAGTAGCATCTAATTTCATTGGTCAGCAGTTTGGTGATTGTTGTTTTCTTCTTCTACTTTGTGCTTTAATGCCAGTCACTCTGTAGATGCATAAATGCCACCTGCTGGTGGCTAGAGGTACCTTTCCTGTGTCAGGCACAGGTAAAAGCAGGAAAACATTGAATTTAAGACAAGAGATACTAGAACCAAGTCTATGTGTAAATTACTATGACCCTTAACTGACACAGGCTGATAACAGTGTGACAATAACATCTGGCAGTTTTGCAAAAAACTTTTGAGTTTTGAGTTCTTTGAGTTGTGAGTTAAGTTGATCACAAACTATTTAAAGACCCGGCTGACAATGATTGAGAACCACAACAGAGGATTCCCATTTGCACGGTTAAGTCTTGTACATATTTAAGTTACCCTTAGAAAGGGTCTTTGTAACAACAGGGAAAGCATTCAAACATGAAAACCTGAAATTCTTCCTTCTGCTTGTTTCTTTGGACAGATACTTCCATAAAGTCCCGGCCGAGCCGCCGCAGCTGGACATGAAGGCGAGCTACGGCCTGGCTGAGCCCGTCCCCTTTGAGCTGCCGCCTCTCAGTGAGCAGTGCACTCCTGAGGTCTACGCCACCTTTGATCTGACAAAGGGAGCCAAAAACGACAAGGTACACACCAAATCAGTTATTTATTCTAGATTATTTCATAACAATGTTATAGTTGTTGGTGGTATTATAATTATTACTTGATGTGCAGGCCAAACCCAAGGAGGAGGAGGTGAAGCCAGTGAAGGAACCTGACTTGAAGCCTCAGAAGGACACAGGCTGCATCCTCTCCTAAACTTTCCATTTTCAGCCTGTTTCACGACATCCATTTACTTTCCTCACATAACTCCAGAGATGCTTTCTTGCAATATTTAGTCCTCATGTTGTACATTCATTCTAGACATGTATATTACATTTAGCAGTTATAACTGTGTCTATGTCAGAGCCAGTTATGTGACCAGATACTCAAAATGTCTCGCTCTGTGAGAATCACTTTTAATTAGGACATGAAAATAAATAAGCCTTATGGGTCCCATGGTTGTGTCAGTGGTGCCTTCAGCTGCATTGTAAACTGGTCGCTCTGATTATAGATAACTCAGACAATGGAAACTGACTTATTAAAGAGGCTTAAAGTGGCCTCCTAAAACATAAAAATGCAGTAGGTATTAAACTTTGATATTGAATAGTTAGCACTACATATAAATGCAATGTAATTAATCCAAAAGAGTAAATGTGGGAAACTGCACTCTGTCACTCTGCCTGTATATCTGGGAATAAGATAATTGAAACTGTAAGTTTTTAAATTGCATTTTATGTGTCCAGAACATTGTCATTTAAATATTTACACTGATCAATAGGAATCCCAATCAATACTGGACAGACAGAAAGGACGGCACATGATTTTGCCGTTGAGTTTGGTTTTCTTTTAGCTGTAGTAGCAGTTTACAATCAATATTTACATCACGACTTATGTATTATAGTTTTTGTACATGACATAGCTGTTTTCTACTTTGACTGTTCATTTAAAGGAACTATATTATTATTATTACCTGTGGCTGAATCATTCTTTATCAGGTTGTGAATTTGTGTCTGTTATCCCTTAAAACTATAGTTTTAATTTATTTGTGTTTGTGGTAATTTATCAGACAATCCAAAACACTTCAGAGGGTATAAAGTCCAATCACGTTTTTGCTGGTGTTGGAGTCAATCGTACTGTTTCAGTGTGTGAACTGATGCACGAACAGCTTACTTTTGTTAGATGTTCACGTGCTGTTGTCAATAGTTGACAGTGTGCAGAATGCAGGCCCTATCATTGACATTTGTACCTTTGTGTGTGACTTGCTTTTGAAGAACTGCTTCAAGGAAGTTTCTTATATCCATCAGACTCTAACAACTTCAAAATAAAAGGTCTAATAAAAAATAAAACTTAAGTTACTAATTACTGGAGAGACAAAACTGTAATATTCCCAACTCATTTAACCTTGGTGTATATTTGCTTCCCTGATCTCACCGTTGGACTTTTTATTGAGTTGTGCACCTGTTTTCATCCTTGTGCTTTTCTTTGCTTTGATTAGACTGGATGTCATAACATTTAAAGCGGTGAATTTATCCAGGAGGTGTGGCAGGACTCGGATACGTTCCACATCCTTTTCTAAGACAGCTGTTTGTCATTCAGGTGTGCCACATCACTGGTTTTACATTGTGCACTCTTGCAGCTCTTTCCTCCTCTGATGGTGTCTTTCATGTAAAAGGTATTTCAAATGGTATTAAATATTCCCTTAAAACTCACTTTTTTCTTCTTGGCTTTTTGTAGATGTAAAAACAAGACTGTCACATCACGTCCACAAGAGGTCAAACTGACACAACTGGTCTAAAGACTGATAGATTTATTTCAACACAGAAATGTTTTGTGAAAGAAGGGTCATTATTTTCATACCCAAATAATTTGGTTACGATGTACAGAACAAGTTGTTTTATCTGCATAGCGAATGGGACAAGAACCATCAGGTACATGTAAAACACAAAGCTTTTCCTCTTAGGTCCATGTGTGTTTGAACAACATACGACTTGTAATTTTATCTCTACAACAAATCTACACACCAATCTGCCAGAGGTTCCTTCCTGTTGAAAGGGAGTTTTTCCTTCCCACTGTTGCCAAGTGCTAGCTTATCGGCGTTGTCTGATTGGGGTTTCCTCTCTGTCATTGTAAGGTCCTTACAATACAAAGCTCATTGTGGTGACTATTGTTTTGAATTTTTTTGCCATATAAATAAAACTGAACTGAATGGATTTAAAAAACTTTGGCAGGCAAACTGAGAATTTTTCTATTTCTCTTTCCTCACCCTAGCACACGAAATCAACAAAGTAAAAATTTATACTTGGTGGCCGATATAGTCAGATTGATAAACATAAATGACGAGGCTGGTGTTGCATGTAAGTCTGGCTAGAGCGATTATCTAGGTGGCGGACAGCAAAGACAATGTTTGTCATCGGGCATGCCTGTGTAGCCAAGACTCAGTTTATAAACACAACAGCTAAAGCTAAACAGTTAGCATAGCTTACCTGCACAGCATCTGCCTCCAATGTGTAAACCAGACTAAGCTACCTCAGTGGTAAACAGATTGTTACTACAGTTCAGTTCTATTCCCTCAAAGTCGGTAAGTAAAATTTATTTATGTAAGATAGGAACATTATAATATTGTAAAGATAACAAAAATACAGAATGAAGAAAAAAATCTTAATTACACAAAAGCAACATAAACACAAGATTATCCAAATGACTGGCTGAATAGATGTAAGCTGTCCAGTTTTCAACTGTTTTTTAAAAAGACGCCATAGACCTACGGGTGCGGAGAGAGAGAGAGAAACTGTTTTGGCGCTAAGGTTTGGAAGGCATAATTTTTATAATGTAAGGTAAAGACCCTACAATAATACAAACCCTATAATACCCTGTACCATAGGTGTCAAACTCTGGCCCCCGGGCCAAATTTAGCCCGCAGCCTAATTACATTTGGACCGCGAAGCCATACCAAATTACTATTAGAGCTGGCCTGCCAGTATTATACAGTGCATTTACTGCTAATACTACAAATCCCAGAATGCTCTGTTGGTGTTCTGGCGCATCAGTCACGACAGGACCCATTAACACCCTGGTCGTGTCCAAATTCATGGGCTGCATCCTCCTGAGTAGGCCGATTACGTCACAGTGACGCGCCGAAGGCTGTTGTAGACTCCTCCGAATGCAGCTGACAAATGTGTCCTCCTTTTCCCCGAATTTGAAGGATGGGTTGGGTGTGTCCTTTCTTCTTTTTTTTTGCCTGTCCCGTTTGGATCTTTAAAAAAGGTGTATGATGAAAGTTTGCGACGTTGTGTGCCCAGAGAAAAAGCAAGCATTTTCAAATGTCAGCCTGAGCAGAAACACAGAAGCTGATCACACACCTGAAGTTGCCACCAATCTATATAACCAGCTGATGGAGAAGGAAAACAATTGTGTTGCATTCTCCATCTCTGTTGATAAGAGCAGTGACGCCTCTGATACTTCCCAGCTTTCAGTCTTCATCCGTGGTGTGGACTCAAATCTCTGTGTTACGGAGGAACTTTTAGGATTAAAATCAATGCATGGCACAACCACAGGGAAGGAAATATTTGATGAGGTTTCCAAATGTCTAACTGAAATGAAGTTGCCATCGGAAAAACTTGTGGGGTTAACGACAGATGGTGCAGATGCGAGCGGAGAACTGTGCAGGTGAGCTAACTGTTTATAACTGCATCATACATCAAGAATCACTTTGTGGCAATGCCTTTATGTGTGAGGTCATGAGCGATCTCGATGCTTCAGGGACGGGGGCGTATCATCACAGACATGTATGCTGCAGTGAGGGCTTTTAAAACTAAATTGTGCCTGTGGCAGAATCAGATGCTACAAGGAAACCTGGGCCATTTTCCCTGCTGCCAAACAATGAACATGCAGATCTCTACTGCTGTGTTCCCATGTGCACAGTTTGCTGAAAAACTCTGTGTACTCAGTACTGAGTTTACCCGGCGGTTTGCCGACTTTGATGCCCAGAAATGTCGATTTGAACTGCTCAGTAATCCTTTTGCAGTTGACGTTGCAAACGCACCAACAAACCTCCAAATGGAGCTGATTGAACTCCAGTGTAGTGACACGCTGAAATCAAAGTATGATGCTGTGGGTGCTTCACAATTTCCACATTTCATCCCTGACACAATGCCTGGGCTCCGCACCCACGCTGCTCAGATGCTCTCCATGTTCGACAGCACTTACCTATGTGACCAACTATTCTCCTCAATGAAGATGGCCAAAACATCTCACAGGAGACGTCTGACCGATGAACACCTTCACTCAATCCTGAGGATTTCCTTAGCCCAGAGCTTGAGCCCAGACATCGAGGAACTAGCATCCAAGAAGAGATGCCAGGTATCTGGCTTGGACACATCAGAGTAGATCAGTGTGTAGCAAACTGAGCTATAATTAACATTTTCTTTGTGCACTTTTTCTTGCTACTCCCAGACATGGGCTTGAATGGTTTCACGTTCAGTGATATTTTTATTAGTTAAGTGGTTTATTATTGTTATTTTTATATTTATTATTAGCCTGGGGAAAAGGTTTACTGTTAAAATTTTATTCAGAAGGCTGAAAATACAATTTTTATTTAAGAAATAAATTCCACTGATATGTTATTTAATTGGAATTTAAATTTTGCATGTGTGCAATATTAAGTTATATATACTTTTATATAAGTTATATATCGTTTAAACTGAATATGGAACAAGCTCATATTCAGTTTTTCAGCAAAACTTGTTTGAGTCTATAAGAAAAGGTTCCTTGTTATATCTGGAGGAA